TAAAGACGGGCCTGAATAAACAAACATGTTAGTTTCGAAAAACCAGTAACTATGCAAGAAATATTAAGAAAAAAAAATACTGCACAGCAAAATATCCAAAGTCTATTAGTATGGGTATATTCGGTCTCCAACTAGGTATAGACACAAACCAGTCCACCTATTCGGAGAGACGACACATACAAATACCATGGGGCAACAATTCGCAAATGGGGGGGGAGTGTAACCCAATGAACGAGAGGACATAAAGCATATTATTTAGCGTCAAGTGTATAGAACATACCATTACATAACATTACTTAACATGACATGAAGAGAGCTAATAGTGGGAAGGATGCCACAAATAAGGACACGGCCAATAGACCTGAAAGGTAAAGCATGGCAAAACCATATATAACGTCTCTGTCATCTGTAAGCACCCAGTGTAATACAGAGGAGTCATCAACGATGTCGTCTGGGAGTAGGCATTGCCGGGGTGGAATGCTCCCGCGGGCGACGGGACGGCGTGTCGGACGGAAGTGATCCCTTCGGCAGTCTCTTACGCGGGGTTACTCTCTGCCAAGTGGATGGCTCTGGGCCCAACTTGGGTAGGGGTTCCCGTCCAGGAAGAGTAGGGCAGGAGATGTGAAGATCTGCGCAGAAGGACGAAAGGTCTTCCGGGAAGCATAAAGTGGCATTTTTGCCGTCCCGCCTAGCAGTGAGGCTGAAGGGAAATCCCCATCTGTATGGGATGTTGTTGTCCCGCAGCAGGGTCAAGAGAGGTTGAAGGATCCTCCTCTGTTGCAGGGTGACCCAGGACAGGTCCGGGAAAACTTGGATGGGTGCACTGTCAAATTCAATCGATTTCATATTACAAGCTTTCTGGAGCACTTCCTCTTTGACTGCAAAATAATGGATCCTGCAGATGTCATCCCGGGGCTGCAAGGATGAGCCCCACGGGCGAAGGGCCCTGTGGGCACGGTCCATCTCAATCTTGCGGGAAGAAGGCCACCCCAGGATGTTAGTGAAGATGGTCTGTAGGACTTCCTGCAGATCCTCAGGGCCTGTGGCTTCAGGAAGGCCACTGATGCGTAGGTTATTGCAGCGGCCCCTGTTGTCCAAATCCTCCACGTGGCGTTGAAGGTCCCGAATAGTGGCAGCTTGGGACACATATTGGGATTGCAATTGGAATACATCTTTTTTGCAGACCTGGACCTCCTCATCCAGGCCCTCGATCAGTTGGGTCAATTGTTGAAAGTCAGTGTGAATGGATTTCTGATCGACAGGTCTCTCTCACCTCCTGAATCAGGAGCCTGAAGTCCTTCTTGGTGGGAATGTGCTTGAGGCATTCCCTCCAGGAGACAAAGTCTGCGTCCTCTAGCTCTGAGGGGGATTACGAAGCCTCCCGGGGCACCGGGTGATAAGCCACGCCCAATTATTATTATTATTGAAATAATAATTCTTAATTGAGAATCATTCAATTGCAGCTTAGTTGCTTTACTGTAAAGGTATGGAAATTTTGCTCCCCAAACCTGAAAGAAAACTGCCACAATTACTGATACCATGCAGCACATAGGTGTAATTGCAACACTTATGATCATCAAAGATTTTCCTGGTCCAAGCTTTGTAACCAGGTTAAAATAAACAATAAGTAAAATAGCGACAATTAAGAACACTAAAAACTAATGTAACTAAAACATTCGGATCGTTAGGCTCTTTGGAAGCACAGAGCGAGGGCATTCATACGAACTAGAAAACAAGAGCACAGAAGCATATTAGCATTGTGTTGTAGTTCAAAAACTTTAATGTGAATTGGTGAATAAAATCAATGCACTCACAAACATATCTGTTGTGTAGAAAACATGGAGTCGCTGTGTCAGAAGCGTCTGTGTGTCTGGAGGGCAATCTTAAGGCTGGAAGCACACCTTTTCACTTTCACATGCATTTGTGAGCGTTTGTTTTCCACAATTGCCGGGCGACCCCATTGGTTTCAGTGGGGTTTTGAACATGGGGCAAACATGGAAAAGTATGTTTTCGGTTTTTGGATAGAGTGTAGATCCAAAAGGGTTTTATTGTTTATGTTTCCATTGGGGAGATTTCTGCCCACAGCTGTTCCCCCCCCCCCCCCCCCATTGCTCACGTTTTTGCGCGCAAATGCAGAGGAAAAACGCACCTTTGCCCAGCCACATTTGGGGTACCATTTACTGATTATGGCACAGCAAGTGTGTTTCACATTTTATACGCATTTCATGAACATGTGTCAAAGTGTGCTTTCTTTCTGTGTTTGATGTGCAAACGTGAAACGCTCAGGTGTGAGGGGCCTAAGGATTAAAGCTGAGTTTTAACCTTACCATCTGTCTTGCACAGTTGTACACGCTCCTCTCTCATAGTAAAATTGCTTACTCTGAAATCATTGCATAGGGAATTCAGATTAATTAAGCATTGCACAACACTAACTTCAGTTTTTACAAACTTTTCCAGTTTTGAACCAAATCCTCCAGTTTTATCTGTAATTTTGAACAAACCATGGGCATTTTTTATAAGCTTACTGAAATGCAACCCCGATTCCAAAAAATCTGGGACACTATGTAAAATGTACATAAAAACAGAATGCAATGATTCGCAAAGCTTATAAACCCATATTTTATTTACAATAGAAAAATAGAAAAACATATCAAATGTTTAAACTGAGAAAATGTAACATTTTAAGAAAAAAATAAGGTAATTTTAAAACTGATGGCAGCAACACGTCTCACAAAAGTGGGAACAGGGCCATGTTTACCACAGTGTAGCATCCCCTCTTCTTTTAACAAAACTTTTAAACATCTGGGAACCAAGGAGACCAGTTGCTGGAGTTTTGGGAGAGGAATGTTGTCCCATTCTTGCCTGATATAGGATTCCAACTGCTCAACAGTCCTGGGTCTACATTGTCGTATTTTTTTTAAAGATGCACCAAATATTTTCAATTGGTGAAAGGTCTGGACTGCAGGCAGGCCAGTTAAGCACCTGGACTTTTCTACTATGAAGCCATGCTGTTTTCATATTCGCAGTATGCAATTTAGCATGGTCTTGCTGAAATATGCAAGGCCTTCCCTGAAAAATAAGTTGTATTGATGGGACCATATGCTGCTCTAAAACCTGGATATATCTGTCAGCATTGATGGTGCCTTTCCAGATGTGCAAGCTGCCCATGCCATATGCACAAATGCACCCCCTACCATTGGAGATGCAGGCTTTTGAAGTGAGTGCTGATAACAAGCTGGAAGGACCCTCTCCTCTTCAGTCCAGAGGAAACGGCGTCCATGGTTGCTACAAATTATTTGTCTGACCACAAAACAGTTTTTCACTTCGTGACAGACCATTTTAAATGAGCCTTGGCCCCGAGAAAAGGTAAACGATCATGTTCAGATATGGCTCCTTCTTTGCATGATAGAGCTTTAACTCTAATAGAGCTTTTGGATGGCAGGGCAAACTGCGTTCACAGACAGTGATTTTTGGAAGTATTCCTGAGTCCATGCAGTGATGTCCATTGCAGAATCATTCTGTGATGGACATGTTTTGAATGCATTGGCATCTGAGGCCCCAAAGATCATGGGCAGCCAATATTGCGTTACAGCCTTGTCCCTTGTGCACAGAAAGTTCTCCAGATTCTCGGAATCCTTTGATGATACTAAGTACTGTAGATGATAATATATAATAAGTCTTTGCAATTTTACGTTGACGAACATTATTCTGAAATTGTTCCACAATTTTTAGATGCAGCTTTTCACAGATTAGTGAACCTCTGCCCATCTTTACTTCTGAGACACTCTAATTCTTCAAGATGCTATTTTTATACCCAATCATGTTACTGACCAATTGGCAATTCACCTGATTAGTTGCAAAATGTCCTTCCAGCTCTTCCTTGTTAGTTACTTTGCCAGCTTTATGTTGCCCTGTCCCAACTTTTTTGATATGTCTTGCTGCCATCAATTTCAAAACTCTATTTGCAAAGAATATCCAATAATGTGCAAGGAAAAAAAAAAGCAAACAGTATTTTTGCTTCCATATAATTGGATGATGGAAGTCAGCAGAGCTTCAGCTTATTCACTAAGCTAAGGGAGAATTCCCTTGCAAAGTGAAACTTTCCTTATAAAGTGAACAGCCTATTTGTCTTTATTAAATTAACTCCATTGAATCAGCTATGAATTTTGCATCATATCAAAGTGTGCTTGATGAGAATGTGAGACCATCTCTCAGAAAGTTGAAGCTGAAGACAAAATGGAGGGTTATGGACGGTCATAGTCTTCAGAGGCCAAGGGTATTTTTACTTTTTCTACAGTGCACAATTACATCTATTAATACTTTGTTTAATAAATGATTGAAAATTTACATTTTACTTTTTGTATCAGCTTTTCTATCGGTACTAGTATATTAGCCTTATCCGTGGGCTTTGTTTGAATGAAAATCTATTATTTGCCTATTCAAAAATGTTGAAAAAAGGCAACAATTTCCATGGGGTTTACTTACTTGTTCACCTGAGTGGAAACATTTGCATATTTTACTTACTTTTGTGATTCATCTACCTTGGCCAGGCAATTCAGCCCGGAGAATGACCTTGCTGAGTTAAAGCTTAAGTCCAGGCATATACAAAAGACACATATTATTGCAGCATTCATTTCACTTGGAATCAGCCTATTATAGTCCTTGTACAGCAGAGCTCAGCGCAGAGGAGGTAGAAACAGCACAAGGAGCCAATCAGTTTAAATGCGGACATGGATGCTGATAGGAGAAAGCAGAGTGACAGAGAGGTGAGTACATGATTATGATGCTTCTCATTCACTGCCCAGGCACAGGCCTGGGCTTAGATGAGATGGGTGAAATGATGCTGCTTAAAGACTATAGAAAGGTTGAAAGAACTTGAAAAACTTAAAATAATAATTTGTGTGTGTTTTTTTTTGCATTTGCTTGTAGCTTTACATGTGCTGCTAATATATATTTCATTTGGTGTTTTCCATTAAAAAACAAAAATATTTATCTTTAAGAACTCCCTCCATCAAGGCAATATAATGGAGCCAGTACAACAGCTACTCCTACTACTATGATTACCGCAACAACACAATGGACTACAACATCTAGCACAGTAAAAACAACCGTCTTGAGCCGCAGGAACATTTCCACAGTATATCCTATGGTCGAAATTCCTGTTGAGGTCACCACACGTTCCATACCTGTTTCATCACAAATACCAGCTGTTGGTGCCGAGAGCTGTGATGCTGTAGAAGCTCGTGAAATCATGTGGTTTAAGACTCGACAAGGGCAAACAGCAAAGCAGCCATGTCCTTTAGGAACTGTGGGTAAGTGTCATATATGTAACTATTATCGCAGTAAAATGTTTTATAGAGATATTCTTAGCCTTGTTAAACTAATTGTGCCTGTACCCTTTCTATATGACTGACATGCAAATGTCAGTACTGAAATCATTTATTTAATGTATTTACTGTCAATAGCTTGTTATTTAAGTTAGAAGTTGCAGGAATAAACGGATAGCTGCTACAGAGAACAGAATGATAATGTCTTTATATAATGGGTTATGCTTATATCTAGAGGATGAATCAATCAACTGTCAAATACCTTCAAAGAAAAAGGTCACAAGCAACAATGCCATAGTGCATCATACACTAAAACTGGCAATACACCTATAGATTATCTGCAGATTTTCTATGGTCAGATCATGGAAAAAGTGCAACAAATTCCTCCATCTATGCTTAACTGTGTGGATGGAGGAATCTCCCACTGGGCCAAGCTTTAGTATCTTGCTAGTCGGCCCCGCTGGCTCTCAAAATACCTGAACAATGCCTGCATCCAATCAGATTGTTCAGGTATTTTAACAGCCAGCGGGCCAGACTAGCAAGATACTGAAGCTTGGCCCAGCGGAAGATTCCTCCATCAACGCAGTTTAGTGTAGATGGAGGAATCTGTTGCACTTTTTCCATGATCTGACCATAGAAAATCTGCAGATAATCTATAGGTGTATGGCCAGCTAAGCTAAACACCGCTCTTTATCAACTCCTCTCATTCTCTCTCAGCATTGAGAAAAGAGGTAAATATCCCACTAAGAACAATCTTTACTGCTATTCATTATTCCCATAGCAACATTATGCATCTCACGGTAAGTTACTGGTCTATTCTTAGTGGGATATTTACCTTTTTTCTCAATGCTGAGAGAAAGAGAGGAGTTGATAAAGAGTTGACAATCAAGCAAGTTACTGGTCTCTGACATTTTTTTCGATTAATTTTAAGGAAAGCACTTTGTGCCAATATGACTCTTGCTTTATTCCGCCGGCTTGTACTGAGGTCACCTGTGAATACCCTCTCTGTCTTGGGAAGCTGGCATTGCCAACAGATCTAAAGCAAAAGGTTTCAGTTGGTGATAAACAGTATCACTCTGTGCCAGCCAAAAATGTATTCCAGTGTCATAATTAGTGACAGCTATTTCCATGAGCATATGAGTGTGCTGTGCTTACCTTTGTATGAATTTCAGGAGGAGTAATCTTCAAATGTCGCTTCAAGTTTGTTGTGTTTTTTACGGTGATTGATGCTTCACATGGTTTACAAAGGGTCTTTTTCTCGTCAGCATCAAATGTAAAATTCATCCATACATCTTCCCTTCTCATTGTGCACGTCTGCCCAGTGCCTACTGCCAGGAAGAGAAAGAGCTCAGAGAACAGGAATCTGTCATGCCATTGTCCGTCCGATTTCCGTTTCGTTTTCGTTTCATCTATGAAAATGTGGCGTTTTCGTCCAATTAACTGCTTTAGTATTTATTTATTTTTTGTTTCGTTTTCGTCACGGAAAAACATCCAAATGACGAAAATAATTTTTTCGTCAACTATATTAACACTGAAGCAGGGGATTTAGATATGCAGATCCGATTTATGAAAACTGGAGCAAATAAGGAATACACATGTGTTACCAGTAACAAAACTGGTAACAATGTCCAGTTTTCTAATGCCTTTAGGAAATTACAACTTAAATTTGAACTGTTACCACAAAGAACCCCTCTTTTGCACTTGTTTTTGTAACTGAAACCAGTTGTTGTGGATTATTTTATATACGTATGTTATATAATAACATGAGGCTTTGAATACTTGTGAGGAGCCAAATTATGTTCTAAATTATTTGCAAACTTGTAATTGGCCATATTTCTAAATGTATTTAATCTAATTTATAAAACTTTTTTTTTTTTGTTTTTTTAAAAGGTGTGGCAACATATACTTGCACTTCTCCTGAAGGTGTATGGAATCCACAAGGACCTGACTTAAGCAACTGCTCATCCCCATGGATCAGCAATATTGGGCAGAAGGTGAACTTTTTCTAAATGGGATATTTGTAAGATTAAAAAAAGAATGTAAAGAGACATCTTTTTAAAGCTTAAAACTAAACTCAAGTTTAAAAAATTAGAATGAATAGTTCATGGAAATAAAGTATTAAAAGCACCTTTATCTGTCACTGCCCCCCACAGTAAGTCTTCTCCACCACTAGATATCATCAGTCTTCGGAGGTTGAATGGCTACCATCATTCAATCCAGTTCTTGTGAGCCCAGGCTGTCATTGACACAATCCCTGGGGATGCCTTATTACAGCATGCTGGGTTCTCTGTACTTCTGTACTAAACAAAGCTCACATGCGATTACATACGTAGGCTGGGCCACTTCTGGTGGAGGAGAATAGGAATGACCTTGGATCTCACTGGACCAGCCAGAGTTGCAGGATTAACCCCTTCATGACTGAGCTTGTTTTTAATTTCTGTTCGTAAATGACTGACACACTTTTGACATTTTTGCTGTGTGATTCTTCCACATCAGTAATATACTTTCTTACAAAGTGCACCCACACATATTATATATTGTTTTTTAGAGGACAGATAGGGCTACATATTTATATCACATATGTGTGTCTAATGCCTCACTTAGGACAAATAAAATATAAAAAAAGAGGAAAAAATGTTTAAAAAAAAAACAATTTTTCCCCAGTTTTGATTTGTAGTATTTTTTACAAAACCAGCACAGCTTAAAAAAAATGCAATACATACATTCATTTATTTGTCCTTTATTTTTTATTTTTTACACTTTTTTTCTTTACACTTTTCACTATTTTAATTTTTTTTACACTTTTCACAATTTTTTTAAAAACTTTAAATTTTTATTGTATTTATTTAATTATATCAAGCAGTTATTGTGAATTAATCTCACTATTACTGCTTGATAAATTAATACATTTTTGGTTATTATTAGGCTGTTTCAAACTTCAGAACAGCCAATAATAAGTTAGTGACACTGATCCTGCAGCAGTTCAGGATTCAGCTGTCACTAAAGGTTTTCTTGAACGTTCCAACAACGATCAGAAAACTGAAACATTCTTCTTTCAGGAATACAGGAATAGATACATTAAGTATCTATTCCTGAAAGTGAAAAAAAAAGCCAGTATACGATCTGAGAGAGATATCTCTAGATCTATACGAGCTGTCAGAATGCCGACTTTTGGCGGCATGTTTGCCCGCTCTGCTTTGACTCTCAGACATTAAGGTATCAGGTGTCTGAAAAAGGTTAACCATTTCATTAATGAATGCCTCTATACTGAGGCATCCATTAATGAATGGTAACCGCTGATTCTCAGCGGTTACCAGCCCTCTAATGCAGCAAATAACTACAGTGTACGTCTCCCGTTGCGAAGGGGTTAAAGAAGAACTCCAGGCATATTAAACATTTACCCTTGCGATGGGACTTCCCCCGCACTGCAAGGGTTAAGTGCTCGTTTTGGTTTGTTGTCTCAAATAAAAATTATATAGTCACCTGATCCTCATTTCCACGGCAGCAACCATTCACCTCTCTCCCCCTAGCTGTGGAATGTCCCTTGGGGTCTTCACGTCCAATGCAAGTGAATAGACATGTTGACATCATGGGTCCTTAGATCGTCATAGCCTGGGGAAGAAGAGGCTGTGGGGAGTAGTCATGCAGCTGGGGGGGGGGGACTGAGGATTGGGTGAGTATATCTTTTTTATAAACTCTAGACCAAAACAAGCAGGTAACCCTTGTAGTGCAGGGGTAGTTGGACTGCAAGGTTACTGTTTAATATGCCTGGAGTGCTTCTTTGAAGTTATGTATGCTTTTATGATTTAGCTGCCTCAGGTGAAGAATGAGGGTGAATATTTTGGTGAACATTGTTCTACTTTAAGTAGAGACCATCATATTTGTTTTTCTTTAAAAATTAATTTGGTTGTAAATATATTTGTTGTATTTAAAGTAAATTTGAACCCATATAAGAGTATATATTGCAAGGCACTGGCTGGCAGGATTATGGATGGTATATATTTGTCACCTAGGTTTCCCACCTACACATGGTGATGGACTCCAAGAATTGTGACTGATATGGAGAAAAAAACTTTTTTCAGATCTTAATAACTTTCGTTATGGTTATTGGAGCCTGAAGACTTTGTAGAGCTTTTGGGGTGTGGTAGAACTGTCAATCCTAGGTTCACATTTTACCTGGTAGCCAGATTTAATTAGTCTCAGCTGTCCACAGACCTGTTATATGCGAGTTGACTGTTGCTCAGTTCTTTCTCTCACTTTGTTCTGAGGTTCTGCTGCTGGGTCAAAAGGCTGACTGCTATCAGAATACTAAAAGGTAAAAAAAGCTGCCTGTTTTTGTTTTGGGGAATTCATTAGGTGGCACCCTGTTAGTCAGGAACTGAGATCAGTTTAGTTAGTGGCTTGGACAAGCAGATGTTTTGTTTTATGCTAGGGACATGCTTTGCAGTGCCCTCCTGCACTGAATCTCTGCTTGATGCCTTGCAGGACCGTTTCTGGGTATCCCTGTCTCGTGTATTGTTTACTACTGCCAATTCCAGTTGAGCCTGTCCCTCTTACAACTTGGTGCTAAGATGCAAGCAGCATCTTAAATAGACAAACACCTCTTGTTGAATAAAATAGAGGAGTTTGTAAAACAGCTTTTATTGACAAATGCTAACCAGCAGCAGACTAATCAGCTACTGCAAGAGGCAAATCGCTTAACTGCCTGACAGATGCAACAGCTAACTGAAGCCCACCGTACCTCCTTTGAGGTAAAACAGGAAGCGAACCTTTCTCTACAGCAGCAGATACAGGCCCTGTCAAAGAGGCAGATACTGGCACAGCGGCTGATGTCTACACCTTGACAGCTGGTGCAGAACAAATTGTTGAAGAAATTATGTTAAAGCCTACCTCTGCAACATCTACAACAACCTCTAAAAGATTTGCGGAATGCCCTTCCTTGAGGAACAGTGGGTGATGCGTTAGCACCGTTTCTTTTATCGAGGAAGCCTGATAAGTCCTACTTTGACTTACAACCTCAGCAAGTCAAGGAGTATCCTAAAATCAAAGGAGAAATCCTAGCCGGTCTCTGGGTTACCATGGCTGTCTTTGGCTGCCAATTGCCACATATTACATGAGTCCATGGATTGTGACCTGGGGAGGCATATATCACTCTCTGTCAATCCAGATGTCCTGTTACATAGCAATGCTAAAGATTACCTTACTGCAGTGCTTTCTGTGGAGATAATATAATATAACTGGATGTGCAGCGCTCAGGATTATCAATAAATAAAATCAGTGTTGGCACATGAAACTTGATAAGTGTTAATAAAGTTTTTGTCCCTTTTATATTTTTGTGACTAAATACTGATTCATATGGTGAGGACGAGACGTTTGGAGGTTCACCAACTTTCTTCTGCCTGTGAATATCCTGGTCTGGTGAGTGCGCATCCCAGAGGGGACCTAGATGTGGACACTGCAGTGTGGGATTTCTCTTACTTGTTACGGACACTGAAAATTTAAACTGTTTTTGGTATTCAAATATCGTCTATTTTTTTTCACTTTTAATCAACAGATTTGTTATATTTTTAAAGATTTTGGATCCACAAATTATCTACTTTTGGACTCACATTTTATCAATGATTATTTAATATATAGTTCACTCACTTTGGCATCCACTTTGCTATATCACCTTGATAAGCTTGAGATTTTTGTATTCATTTTCCGCATTTGTGGTATTTTATATGCAGAATTGTACATTTTATTCATATCATGTATTCGTGCACGATTTGATTTTTTTCACTGGTTATTATTGATTATTAACACTTATCAAGTTTCATGTGCCAACACTGATTTTATTTATTGATAATCCTGAGCGCTGCACATCCAGTTATATTATATCTGACCCTAGTGTCCCTAGTACAGCAGCTCTAATATAGAGGTATTTATTCATTAATTTATTAATTAATTGATTCATTTATTCTTGATATCCAATTGATATCCAATTGAGATATCCATATCGATCTATAAAGCGCGGATTATACATATTTCACTTTCTGTGGAGATGCCTGCTGGAACTGTAAAGCATGTTGAGAATCACGCCCATACACAGTGCAATAATGGGATGCCTTTTTTCTCTGTTTTGTGAACAGTGGGATGAAATCCAGGCAACCAGTTTGAAAAAATGTATCTGAAATGAATGATGTCACTATTTTGCCTGGACTTGATGGGGATGTTGGCTATCCTACATCAGAGGTACAGGACAGCTTCCTATTAGCGATTATGGTTAGGGAGTCAGAGAAAACAGTCACACACTGCTGGACATACCAGTGGCCAAGGATGATTTTGGAACTACACAGTTGCAGGATCCGAATCTGGCAAATGCTTTGAGAAATGTAAACGTAATAAATTGGGTGTTCAAAATATCTGGCGTTAGCATGGTATACCCCAATTTTGTTTTATACTATATCTTACTGTATTGTGTATAGAATGGGAGCAAGTCGTGGAGCAGCTAGTGAGTCCCCAGTTTTAAACACAGATGTTTGGAATCTGGCCCATTCTCTTCTTGGGTAGTCATTTAGGGATTGAAAAACAAAAGAGCGGATTGAGCAGCATTTTTTCTGGTGTGTAACAGCGAGCCAGGATGGAGTGAGGAGGAGTCAGGATTGAGATCGGGTTACAAGCACTCAGCAATTAGCTGATGGCTGAGTGTTTGTATAAAAGGCTTACTGTGTCCCCAGTTATAAATGGACAGGAAGTGCTCTACATTGCTTCCTGTTCTTTCACGATTGTGGACATACTAACTAATACTATCTCCTCAACAATAAAATATTTTACAAATATATTTTCAAACCTTCAAAAAGGTTTGAAGAAAAAGAAAAAATTATTTTTGGTTTTGGCTTGCACCTCTTTCTAGGTCTGCATGACTTTAAATTATATGGTAAACACAGGCCAAGGACTCAGCAAGAAAATGTTGATTGGCGATCAGATCCCCACTGTATGTTGTCAAAATGTG